CATGATCGAAGCAACGCTGACGTGTGAAAACAGTCGGACCGCGTCTCGAATATACAAGAAACGACGAAATCTTCTAGGTATGCCGCTGATGCTTCGACAAACTGCCGTTGAGTCATAGAGATGGAATTTTCGGGAGCACCCAGAAACGACGAGCAGAGAATTGGCTTGGTATAAATAACCGACTCATCGGCGCACAGTTTAGTTTAGTATAGAACATTGTAATGAAAAGTTAAAGTGTAATAAATAAATTAGAATTGTTAGTTAGTGTCTAAGTATTATATACATTAAATAGTACGTCTTAAATAAATTGTAAATAGTGTGTTTTAAATAAATAAACTAAAAACAAATTAGACTATCGTTACAATAATATTATTATAACTTACAAGACTTTTCAAGTTGAGAATTTAATGCAATAAGAAATGCTTCTAGCTTAAAATTCGTCTGTCCTGGCAGAATTCGTAACATAATTTATAAAATGTTTCTTATATATTTTAGGCTTTCTGTTAATTTTATACACTTTAACCGTTCCCAATTCTAGGTTTTAAATTCAAATTTCCATTGATTCAAAGTTTGTAGGAAACCTGCTTAAAAAAATACTAACAATATTCTACAATATACGTGTACCACCCATGTTTTTTATTTACTTACCCTTGAAACGACGTGGAACTTCTCCAAATGTATGTGTTAGTGCAAAAGACATTAAATAGTAATTTTTAGACTTACAACTAACAAAATTATTAGAAAACCCTCTATAAACTCTAAAAAAATATCTCCTGGGATTATAAAATTACACAAAATATACGAACGGAACTGAAGTTCCCCAGTGTTTGTTGATATGTTGATAATTGTTAGAAAATTTTCGCGCTACTATTTAAAATAGACCAATCACACTAAGATACAGGAGAAAGAGAAACTAATAGAAAAAGCGGTTCATACTGGCTTCAAACAAATCCAGACCGTTAGTTATCTATTATTCATTTATTTTATCTGAGGACTTACTACCTTTAATATTAAATTTAAATATTTTGGAGTTACAACATTTGTATGTTAAGCCGACGATATAATCTTTGTCATCATCAAATAATAGAAGAAGGTAAGTATTTCTAATACTGTTTCTTATACAGATGAGTATAGTTGCTGGTCTAAAGATATAAATTATTGAAATACTAACAAAAAAAAATAATTTTTGGTTTAAAAACCAGGAACTGCTATCTATTCCATGAATTAATCCAATTATACAAAAGATTATTTCATCTCATTGGAGCATAGCCAACCGAAGACACAACAATCCCTCAATGTCAGTGACGAAATCATTAAATTCAATACCGTGGTATTCGTTCTCCCTATTTCTAAAGGCCGTTCACATGTTTTTATAGCACACTGAGATCTTTATTAGGAACACTTTGCGTTAAATGACTTGTTACTTACTTCCCAAACAGACTGAGAGTTTAATTTACACTAAGGAAAGTGGTGTCGTTAATTATTGTCAAATTCTTAATTATGCTTTTATTTATTTTTAAAATTTATTTATAAATAAAATACAGGGTGTTGATGTCACCATGCCCCAGAAAACTAAAAGCACAAGTGTCATGTGAACACATGACGTAATATGTAATACTAGACAAATAAAACTAGAAATAATTTTATAATTTCAATCAGTGGGCAAATTTAAATTTACCACATGTAAAATCTTATTTTATTATTCCTACGCTAATATTTCTTACATATTTTCGTATGTCTTAAAATAAAAAAAAATATTTAATTTATTATTGATTTTAGGAAATATAACCTTATTTATTTTAACACTATGAATTGATGTTTCTATATTATGGATTTTACTGTATATAAGTATTTAAAAATGCTTTGTGAATACGGACGTATGTCTAGATATTGAAATAAGTAATTAGAAAGTGATTAATAAATATTTTTTCTTGCCCGCATGGATATTAGCTTACCTATGCACATACCACAAAACGAAAAAGTATGCTATTGCGTTCAACTGAACGAATATATTTTATATCCATTCTACCTAGTTAGTACACTGCAACAAAATGAAATTCATCAATCACAGTTCATATTTTGGCCACCCGGCTACTATTGTTTTTTTAAATTTTACACAGTGTCTAGGTACACGCTAACTTGTACGCAATTTAAAAATTTATATACAAGCGAAACGTCTTGACAGAGTAGGTGAGCTGTGTGCAGGCCGTTGGTGTTTAAGCCAGTCGTAGATAGGTATGGATTAAAATTTTTTACGAGAAGTCGTTACTTCGTTTTCTTGTTGTCACGGCTTTATTTATTATTTGTTCATGCATGTGAAATTTGCTTCTAAGTTTTATAAAATTCTACCGTGCTAGTCACGGCGTAAATGAAAACAAACAAAACGCATTCACACAAACACCTCCCACCACAGCAATATGACGTTTCGCGTGTATATAATTTTTTGATTCGTGTACACTTTAGCGTGTACCTAGCAACAGCGTAAATTTTATATAAGTGACAATTCTGTCAAAATAATTTTCAGTATATTTCTTTGTTATTGAGATAACATATATTATGTAAAAATGAGGTATTCTTGTGTAAAATCGATAAATAATACTTCTATTTTTATTTTGTCTATGTTTGCAAATAAATCACAAATTTAAATCAAACTATATAAAACTATGAAACTAATTTAATAACGAGTATTAAAACTAAAATGGTGTCTCCATAGTGGTATCTGTATCTGTATCTATAACGTGTGGAGGGTGATACGGCACTAAAACCTCATTAGGCCTATTGTGCATCCTCCTGAGAAGATAGGCACTACTAGCTCGTGAGCCAGCCTATCGATTTAATGTAGTTGACAACGTCGCCAAAAGGTGCTCCTCTTATATCGGCCGGTGTTGGCCGATACTCACCGAACACAAATCTTTTAATAAATAAGAGCGTCGAGCAATCGTAAAGGATATGCTCGATGGTGTCATCTTCTTGTTTGCACCCTCTGCAGAGTGCGGATTCTGACAGCCCCATGATATGGAGATGCTTTCGTACTTGGCAATGACTAGTCAGAATGCCTGTGACTAGGCGCAGATTCTGTCTAGTCATGGTCAAGTATTTGTTTGCTGCAATGTTGTCAGGATAACTTAAGAGCTTCCTGGCAAACTCTGCAGTTTCTTGTTTCATCCGATCTTTTCTTGAATTTCACAAGGGAATGTTCTTTGATTAGGTCTGTCACTGCCGATTTTGTCAGGCCAATAGAAGGGCTAGGTCCAAAAAGTATTTGGTTGGCTGCTTTCTTGGCTAGTGAATTAGCAATAACCTTTCGATGTGGCGTGACCTTTAATCCATCTTCAGGTGACCACGTTGTTGATGGATACTTCGGCCAAAGCTTCGTGACATTCTAGTGCTAACCTTAAATAAATTCAGGGTGAGCAGTGCTTGTCTGCTATCTGTATAGATGAGCATGTTCCTTTCAGTGATATTGTGTCTGGTTATTTATTTATCCCCGTTAGCTGTGTTTAAACTACACTGGCACTATTTCTCACAGCCCTAGGTTTAAGAATCTGAAGTATATTCCACATTCTGAGCCATGTTTTGTTTTAGAACCGTCGGTGTAGATATGAATCGTACCTGCCACTTCCGGCTCTTCTATTTGTTCTATTATAACTTTATATGGCTGATGAAAGATATGTTTCGGTGAGATAGAGTGGGATCGTATCCAGCGCTTCCTGCCGAAAGTGACGTCTCGCCTCACCAGATCCTACATTAGGTTCTATTCCGACCGGGCCGAGGCGTGTCATTGTCGTCAGAGCAACTTCCTTGATGTAAATATCAAGGGGAATGAGACTAAGAATGACTTCCATTGCTCTAGTCGGTGTTGTTTTCATGGCTGCTGTTATGTTGAGACATGCTGTTCTTTGAATTTGTTCTAGTTTACAGATAGCTGTTAATTTTTGGGTTTTCGGTACCCAGACAACTGCATCGTATGTTAGCATAGGTCTTGTGATAGCTCCACAGAGGTGAGACCAGGTCGTTTGGCTGCTATGCAAGAGGCACGGGTAATCTGACCTGGGGACTAATAACATTAATTGTTTTCTTATTTATTTTATTTTATAAATTATTAAAACTCATAAATTAATTAAAATTCACTTATTATTTTGTCTAAATAAAATAATAAGAAAAGAAAATTTCAAGTCATTCACCACAGAATTTTATTTTTAATTGGCTACTAGTGCCATCATCAGTCCTAAAATTGTAAAATTACATAGTAGATAGCATAATGAAGAGTATATAAGCAAAAACTGTTTTAAAAATGTATTATTATAAAAAAAGGAGAAGAGTAATTCCTAGATCAAATGTCCAATAAGTTCTAGTTTAGAAATTGTCTGATTATGTGGTAATTAAAAAAAACTATAAAATCAAAGTTGATAGAAGCACAGTTTAAAAAAAAAGAAAAAATATCTTAAAATTGTAGAAGGGGGTAAGGAATTAACGCGAATTACAGAAAGATGGGTACTAGTAAATAATAATAAATTTTCCTGTGTAAACAGTCAATTATTGGATGTTAATGATATTTTAGTATTTCCTAACCTCAGTTTTTGATCATATGTTAATCCCTAATATTTAGTTGTCAATTTTATCTCTCATTTGTCACTTTTTTCTTTTTTCGCTAAACTACACCAACATCCTTATACAGTATTATTCGTGGAAAATTTGTTTCTAAACTTGCCAATTTTCTTCTAATATAAAAATTACATTAGATAATTTTTTTAAATAATGTTTTAGATACTACCGGTCATTTGTTTTTCAATTTTATTTAAAAATTTGTATTTTTGAAGTTTTATGTCAACTGTCAACCAACATCATGTGTCATTTTATTTTTCTTCTTTTTATTCAAAATTTTGTAATGTCAGTAATATTCAGTACTGCAGTGTTTACTAGTTTATTTACCTGTTTTAAGAATTATTTGTAAACAGAACTTGTTAGGTATTCTCTAAATATTATTGAATTAGACTTACCTCCTCTTACATCCTTTCCACATCTTTTTCCTTCTGTCTTTACACCCATTTAATCACACCTCACATTCGGAATTTTTTTTTCTATTCCATTGGCAAAACTGCCACCAACTTGTTTTATACGCCTCATCTACCGAATTGAAACGAATGCTACAATATCTCATGTTAGTTGAATAATCTAAAAAGTTTTTATTAAAAATATACGTCCTTACGGCTGAAGTAAGTTCTATGTCACCTTTCTCAAATATCGGCTTAATATTAATTATCAATTTCAGTTTTCTTCTGGATATTCTGTTCTAATCAGAAGGTTACCCATTGCCAAAGATATGTGGCACTTGATATCCCAAATGAAGATGCTTCCCTATCAATTTGTTGGCTAAGGTAATCCTTTTTATTTTTCTCCTTATTTCCTTACTTCCCTCTACACTCTTTTCCTTTTATTTTTCCTCTATTCCTTGTCTGCTTTCCTTTACTTTCTCTTCTACTTCCGATTTGATTTTCTCTCCATTCTCCTCCATCTTTTTTATCTTTCTTGGTTTTTTGACCTTCTCTTTCATTCTTTCTATATCTTTTTTTTTCCACCGCTTTCATCATATCATACTTGTCACAAATTTTGGTTTGTTGTACAAGCACAGAAGCCTCTGTACCATCACTATATATCCATTTTTTTGTATTTTTATCCCCTCTTCTACTCTCACACGAATCTAACACACCACTCTTACTCTTTTCCTCTTTTCTCCACATTTTTCTCTCCCTAATAGCTCATAGAACTGATTCCTGGTTGTCTTTTAATTTATTACTTTATGAGATATTTCCTCCTCGAGGATATCATGAATCGGTTTTATTTACTACTATTCACCTTTCTCTTCCTCCTTTCTATAACTCGAATTAATTCCTTACCCCCCCTTCTACAATTTCAAGATAATCCCCCTTTTAACCTGTGCTTCTGATTCAACTTTGATTTTATACTTAAGAATTTTTCAGTTATCACATAATCAGACAATATCTGGATTAGAACTTATTGGACATTTGATCAAGGAGTTACTCTCTTCCTTTTTATATAACAATACGAGGTAAGTTTATAAACCATTTATAAAAAAGTTTTTGCTTATATACTCTCTACTATCTAACTTTACAATTTTAGGCCTGAAGTTGGCCCATAGAGGCCGAAATTAGTAACCAATTAAAAATTAAAATCTGTGGTAAATCACTTAGAGTTTTCTTTCCTTATAATGGATTGCCACATTAGTGAAAATGAATGATTTACTCTACTTGAATAAACTAAAACAATTTTTAAAATTTGTAGATTTTTATAAGTGGGTCGTAGAAAAAATATAATGTACCACTCGAGTTGATTATCCATATCCACTCTCATTGTAGAAACTACTATTTTAATACCTATATCCTAATTTCTCAGTGTACTTCTTTGATAACCCGAATGAAATTTAAAGGCATATCAGTGATATGGCAACCTAAGGATTCGACATGTTGTAAAGCGAAGTGGGATCTGCCTGCATTTTGCAATGCCCGATTTGTCAATGTTATGGTTTTTATTTATAGTGTTGTGTCTATAACAAAATATAATTTTTATTTGTTTTAAAATATTGAAATTTAGATATTCATCTTTCAAATTTTGGGCCTACCTATATTGAAATATTATTTTTTCATACCTACTTATTAAGTATATTTAAAAATGTGATATTTATTTTTGTTTTAATGTAAATAACTTAAAATAAGAATATATTGCTTTTTGTATTTTAGATACTAAATCGCTTCCAAGCTATTTGCATTGAATAAACGTTTCATTTGAAAGCAATATACCTTTCTCCAATATTGCTGGCTTTACATGATAGTTTGTCATTATACACAACTGTTTCCTAATATATATTCTCACAGCTGTAACATAACTGTAACATAAAAATCCATAAAATACACTTTCCTAAAAACCATCAAAATACGAGTATAAATCATCGAATCCCCCATTTCAATACTACCAATACCATTTTTTCGGTGCCCTAAATATACCAGATGCCTCAGGTTATTATCAATTATTACAATCTAGCACGCTAGTTTCTATCGAATCACTAAGCCCCCAGCTAAGCCTTATGGACGTTTGAGAGTTGCTAATACTCCACTCTCCGGGAACATATAAATATATAATTTAAACATAAAATATTTTTGAAAAGTGTATAATTTTAGGTACCTGCATTCATAATATTATATACAGAAGGAAAGAAAACTCAAAGTCACCACATTCAATTTATTATAAATCAAAAAGAATAGCGACTAGTTTTTGTTCAGGTCTACAATGAGAAACATACAGGGTGACAAAAGATCCACTACAAAAATTTAATTTTCTTGTTTTCCTAAATAAATCAAAAATAGTAATGGATATGTATGGTCTTTTTACACGATATTACTAATCCTACTCTCTATCTTCTCCTACAAATGCCTTGCTAACATCTATAACTAAAGAGAGTGTTGTTTAAAAAAACAACACACTTGCCTAATAGTAAGGTAATAAAAAATGAGCACAAATTATATAGAAATTAACTAACAAATATTTTAAATAAAACAAAGGCTAATTACTATAAAGAACAGATAAAAATAAATGCTAATAATTCAAAACACCTATGGGACGTTGTAAGAAATCTAAGTAATTTTATTAACAAAGAAAATACCACCAAGAAAATAAAAAAAAGAAAACAGAGATGTTATTATTGATTCTGTAGACATCGCTAACAAATTCAATAGAAGATTTACGGAAATGGGGAAAACTCTTGCTGAAAAAAATAAAACGTGATCCAATTTTCTTATTGCGTGAGAAAAGAGTACATTCTAGTATAAGTTTATTTCCTACTTCACCATTTAAACTTAAAGTTATAATACACGAACTGAAATATAAGAAATCTACATGTATGAAAGAAATTTGTTCAGAAACTATCAAAGCAGTGGCCGAATATATAGTTTTTCCGCTTACGTATATCATCTCTGTATCTGTAACGTGTGGAGGGTGGGTTGCCCTATACGGCACTTAGGCCCAATTAGGCCCATTGTGCATCCTCCTGAAATGATAGGCACCTCCTAGCTCGTAAGCCAGCCTACAGATTTTATGTAGTTTAAAACGTCGTTAAGAGGTGCTTATCTTATAGCGGCCGGTGTAAGCCGATACTCGGAGAACACAAATCTTCTAATAAATGAGAGCGTCGGGCAATAGTAAAGTATATGCTCGATGCTCTCATCTTCTTGTTCGCACCTCCTGCAGAGTGCGAATTCTGACAGCCCCATGATATGGAGATGCTTTCGTATTTGGCAATGACCAGTCAGAATGCCTGTGACTAGGCGCAGATTCTGTCTAGTCATAGTCAAGTATTTGTTTGCTGCAGTGTTGTGAGGATAACTTAAGAGCTTCCTGGCAACTCTGCAGTTTCTTGTTTCATCCCATCTTTCCTTGAATTTCACAAGGAAATGTTCTTTGATTAGGTCTGTCACTACCGATTTTGTCAGGCCAATAGAAGGGTCAAGTCCAAAAAGTATTTGGTTGGCTGCTTTCTTGGCTAGTGAATCAGCAAGACGGTTACCTTTCGATGTGGCGTGACCTTTGATCAATCTTAAGGTGACCACATTGTTGATGAATACTTCGGCCAAAGCTTCGTGACATTCTAGTACTAACACTGAGTAAATTCGTGGTCTGTTCAGGGTGAGTAGTACTTGTCTGCTATCTGTATAGATGAGCATGTTCCTTCCAGTATATCATACGTATATCATATATCTTTGCTTTGAGAATAGAATTTGGCCAGATTCATTAAAAAAAACAAATGTTATTCCTATTTATAAAAAAGAAGAAACTGTAATCACGAATTATCATCCAATATCGCTTATTACCAATTTGTCAAAGATTTTCGAAAAATTGCTAAAAAAGAAACGGTTGTTATCATACATAGACATAATAGACAAACATGAACTAATTTTACTAATGTAATATGCTCTTACAGCGTTAGAGAAAGGAAACCCCTGTCTATGCTATTCCATGATTTTGCGAAGGCCTTTTACACGGTTAGTCATCAGCAACTCTTAAATACTCTTGAATCCATTTGTCTTAGAGGAGAATGTTTACTTTTGTAAGAAAATTATTTAAATAATATATCCCAAGTCGTAAAAGTTAATGATACAATAAGAAATGAAAAACCTATCGAATACGAGGTACCAGATGGTACGATTCTGGGGCCGATCCTCTTTAACTTGTACATCAATAGTATGTTTAGTCTTAATACAAGAGAAGATATACTAGGTTATCATGATGACACTTGTTTTTTTATGAGGCTGATACCTGGAACGAATTAAAACACAAAGCAGAAAAGGATTTTCCATATCTGAAGAAATGGTTCGACCATAAACTAGTAACCATAAATATGGATAAAACTCATTTTTAACGCTTTAGCTGCATCAACACAAATATCTGCTTATATCAGCAACTCAGAATTCAAAAAAATGGTACTGCCTTCACAGTAGATGCTATAAAAAATACCAAATATGTAGGAGTGATCATCAATACTTATATTAAATGGGACATTCATATAAAATTTGTAATTAGAAATTACAATGAATTTTATATAAATTTAAGTAGGTACCTGAATAAATACATTTCAGTAAAAGCAATAAAAATACTATATTTTGCATTGATTGAAAGTCATCTGCGGTATTAAATGGTGGTCTGGGGGAGTGCACTTAGAGTACACATTAACCCACTTAAAATCCTACAAAATAGAATTTTGAAATTAATTATGTATAAAAATCGAAGGTACTGTTCTGACCTTTTATTCGAGGAGAGTCAAATTTTGGATCTAAGCCAACTATTCTACGTATGTGTGAATACTGTGATGTTTGTTTATTTTCAAACAACAGTTTATTTATTAATAATTTATTTAAACACTTATTTATTTTAAACAATACTATTTTAATTTATATATACTTCGAATGTCTTTGAATCGCTCACTATTTATATTCACCACTGTCTATCTACTAATAACTATTTATCTTCACTGTCCATAT